AGGGGCTCTGAGCTCTCCCTGGAGCCTTCTCCTCTCCAGGTGAGCACCCCCAGCTCTCCCAGCCTGGCTCCAGCCCTTGCAGCATCTCTGGTGCCTCCTCTGGGCTCTCTCCAGCAGCTCCACAACCTTATGTATCCTTTTCCCCACAGTCCTCAGCCAGGGTATGCAGCAAGGTGGGCCCCACAAGCCTGGTGCTTTCAGCACAGTGACCCCCCACAACACCCTGCAAACCCCAGCACAGCCTCCCCTCCTCATGTCCCTGCTCGGCTGGCACATGCCAGCTGTGCCAGAGCTCTGAGAGCAATGGCCAACAGCTCCCAAATCCTCTCCTGCCTGCCCAGGGCTGTTTCCCTGCTTGCTGGAGCAGCTGAGGAGCAGGTGGTTGTTTCCAAGCACAGCACCATCACCTCCCCAGGGGGTTTGCTGCTCCCTCACTGGCTGTTTGCACGGGCAGGTCCCTTTGTGCTGGCAGGAAACACAGCGGACGATGCCCAGGGCTGCTGTGGGCAGCTCCATGGCTGCTGACAGCTCCCATTTCCAGCCAGCTCCCCTTCCTGCTGACTGAGCTGCCAGGAAGGAAACTGCTTCGCTGGGTTTTGGTTGGGCAGCCCCTCCAGCTGGCTGTGCAGAGCTGGATGAGCAGAGCTCATCCCCTTGGACCCACGTGGGGTGCTGCCATCACCCCCACGATCCCACTGTGATCTGGGAGTGTGTCTGGGCTGAGGGATGCTGAAAGCAAGGTGAAGCTGGAGCGCTGCCCGGGCTGGGAGAGCAGTGGGAGCTGCCCACCCACACGTCTGCCCTGCTCCCAGCACGCGGTGCTGGCACAGCGCAGCACCAGGAGGGATGTGGGGTCAGGCTCTGCTGGGATCAGGGCCAGGCAGGGAGCGTTTGGGATGCTGGAGCAGCGCAGGTGTGAGCAAGCCCGGCAGGAGCTGGCCCAGGGATCCACGGGCTGCCTGCCAACCCTGTGAGGCAGCCAGAAAAGTGCTGGGGCTTTTCAGAGGCTCAGGGAGCTCCCCCAGAGCAGCAGGGACCTGCACCAAGCAGGCTCCTGCCAGACCAAGGATAGCTGACAGCATCCAAGGCCAGGCCTGGCAGCCTTCCCTGAGCAGCCCCAGGGATACAGGCACAGAGCAGCATTCCAGAGCAGCCTCTCCAAAGCTCCAGGCATGGATTTGTGCTGCAGGACAGACCCACATCAGCCCCATGGAGACTCCCAGAGGCTCGGGCCAAGCACAAGGGAGCTGCTGTGCCAGCTGGAGCCCTCTGCCCATCCCAGAGGGCACCCTGTGGCACACGGCTGGAGAGTGGTGGAAATTGCCCATGGAACAAAGCACCTGCCTGCCATGGCCCAGAAAACTCTCCCAAATCCTTTAAGAGCAGCAAAGAAACAGATGAGGGATTCCGGTGTCATTCACCAGTAGGGACAGCACTCTGGCACACTGAGGAGGCTCTGCCAGCGTGGGGAGGAGGATGAGGAGAAGGCCCTTTGGCCACTCTCTGGCACTGCTGTCCCATGCCAGCAGCCTCACTGCTCCCAGCAGCCACACAGCAGCAACCCTGGACTTGCTGCATCCCAATTCCTGCCTCATCTGCAGGATCAGGGAGCTCAGCAAACCAAGCCACGGAGCCAGCACACCAGGAGTCTCCCAGGGACCCCCACTCACAGACCAGTGTCACACGCGTCAGACTCAAACATTTCCTACACCGAGCTTTTTTTGGTCTGCAAGATGCTCAGAACAGAAGTTTCCATGAGCAAACAATTCCCATGGCTGCCTGCAGGCAGCCAAAGAAGCCCTAGGAAGGCTCCAGTCTGGCAGGGAAGAGCTGGAGACAGAAGTGGGCTCCAAGTTCCAGTTTCCAAGGGCAGCGAACAGCCCATTCAAGCCAACAGCATCACCCAAAGGCACACAGATGCCTCTCTGCAGGGAATCAGTGACACCAGGCTGCCCCAAAGGGACACTGCTGTGCCTGGCTGTCCCTCACTGCCACCTCTCAGAGATGACATGGCTGTCACTTACCTTCTTGTGTTTCTTGGCCATCCACTTGTCCCAGTTGTTGAGCATATCCAGCCACTTGGACTCTCGCTGCCGCAGCACCTCCAAGGGCACCTCCTCCAGCCTGTGGGACCGGGAGGAAGAGGCCGGTCAGTGGGTGCCTGGCCCTCCCCATGGTGGGTGCTAAGCCCCCTGGCTCCCGAGCACCCTGGGTGCCCCCCATGCCCAGGTGGCTGCACCCCTCAGGGCACAGGGCTCAGGACACGCTCGCAGCTGCCGGAAGCGCTCGCCACCCGTGAGTGAAGTCACTGCAGCAGCAGAGCAGCTCAAAGCTCTCGGGAGCAGCCTGCACCGCACACAGCACGTGCTGCAGCATCCCCGGGGACACGGCAGGAAGGTGAGGCATGAGCAAGACCTGATCCCTGTGGCAGGCCCAGCTGCACACGGAGAGGGCCGGGGCCATGAGCACCGTGTCATTCACACAGCCCCAGCCACACTGCGCTCCCAACGCCTGGCGCCGCTCCAGGCCCGGCGCCGAGCCCGGAGCAGGGTCCCTTAGGAGGGAGGGGAGTGTTTTCCAGAAACGGCTCAGGCTAGCCAGGGAATCCGATTTAACCCTGCTGAGGCAGGGGGATGCTGGGGGGATGCTGAAGCTGCACTGCAGCCTCCAACCCCCGTGGCACCACATCTGTGCAGAGACGGGTGACAGGCAGGCCCAGGCAGGGACACCCAAGGAGAGCAGACGCTCCTCCAAGCCATCAGTGCACACTCGATGCCTTCCCAGGCTCTGCTCCACACTGTCCTGTGGCCACGCCAATCTCAGGAAGAGTCAGATCCTTCCTGAGGACCCGAGGCCAGCGGCCTGGTGCTGAGCATCCTCCAGCAGCCAGCCCCACCACAGGACATGCAGGCCCTGCCTCCTCCCTCCCTCCCTGCACATGCCGAGCCGGAAAGCCGCGGCAGGGTGAGCCCAGGGCCGCATCCAGCTGGCAGCGCTGCCCCGCGCCCTGCCCAGCCCTTCCAGCCCAGTCCCACCCACCGCAGCGGCTCGGACGGGGCGAGCGCGATTGTTTCGAGAGCAAACCCGCTCCCAAAGGATCCGCTTTGCTCGGCTCCCCACCCTCCCCGGCACGGCCAGGCATGGCCGGCAGCTCCCCAGCCCGGCACGGGGATGGAGGCAGCGCTGGCCTCCAGCCGGGGCTCCGCGAGGCGTGGGAAGCTCGGGACGCTGGATGCAGGAGCTGGCTGCGGGCCGGCTGGAGCTCTGCCAGCACAGACTGGAAGCTGTTCCCAGCTGATGGCTGCTTGGCAGCGGGCAGGGAGCGAGGACCGGCTGCGTTTCATATGGCCCGGGCGGGAGGGTGGGGGCACTCCAGGCGGGGAAGTGACGGGATGCCCTGTGCTGGGAATGCGCTGCTCTGCATCCACGCTGGGTGACATCCCCACAGCTCGGCCCTTCGCGGTGCCCTCACACCCTCCGTGGATGCTCGGATACCCTGCCTGCCCTTCCTGTGCAAACCCGACTCTCTGGCAGCCACAGCAGGAGGTCACACATTCCCCTTCATCCCCTCCTGGACAGACAGTGAACCAATAAAGGCCTGGAGCAGGGCAGGATTGGGCCCCAGCCCATCTGTGGGGTGCTGCAGGAGCCTCAGTCCCCAGTGACTGTCAGCACCCTTGGGAGCAGCCACTGGCCTCCAGCACCACGGCCTTCATGCAGAGCTGCTGCTGCAGGGACAGGGACACCCACCCCAGGGACAGGCACAGGAATGACAGCCAGGACAAGTGTCCCCTAAATGTGGTGTGTGCTCAGGACAGGGTGCAGCACCACGGGAAGGAGAGGCCACACCACTCCCGCAGCGCCGAGGGACAAGGTTTATCACCCGGAGTGATGCACCTTGCCCAGCGCCAACATTCCAACCTCCGGCACCTTTTCACCCCACAGACGCACCCAGAAACACCCACAGGCCACGGGGGGTGAACACTGCTCCTCACAGACAGGGAAACTGAGGCACGGCTGGCACCGGAGCACTCAGGTGGGCAAAGCCCAGGGAGTGTGCTCCAGGCGATGTCCCGGCTGCCACGCGCTGCTCCCACTGCCACCCCGACTTTCTCTGGGCGTTGCTGTGAAAGCAGGGCCAGGAAGGCAAACGCCAAACACGCCGCCGAACCAGCTCGACAGCAACAGCACATTCCTGGGTGTCAGCACCGCCCTGGGGCCCAGCGCCTCGGGTTAGCCTCACTTCCTCCGAGGGTTTCCTCCGGCAGAGCGGGGTGACCATGGTGCCCAGCACTGCCAACAAGGGCTCCTTGCAAAGACACCATGGCCTGGCCTCCTTGGCTTGACAGAGGCCAAAAGTCCACGGGAGTAAGTGCCTGGAGCTGACCAGACACTGACCTCGTGTGCTGGCAGCTCCCGATCCCAAATGGGGTGGACAACACTTCCCAGCCATTCGCCCTCTTCACAGGGAGATGGGACAGCTGGAACACTTTTGGGGCTCTTCACACAGCCATCACAGCATCATGGAAGGGTTTGGGGTGGAAGGGACCTTAAAGCTCATCCAACACCACCCCTGCCATGGGCAGGGACACCTTCCACTGTCCCAGGGTGCTCCAAG